AGGCAACATTGTAGGATACCTTAGCAATTTGTCGTAAGGAACTAAGATCGTTTATCGAAGGCAATATCAAAGGGTCATCGAGGGACTGTGATCTTGTATTCGAGGGTCATTGCTAAAGTATCCCACGTTCGAGAGACATGACTGTTTAATCTGAGACAACAAGTGTAACAGCCCGAGCATTCAGCGTTCCTGACACTATTACCTCACGATCTTCTCTACCCCCCCTCACTAGTAGAGTTTTTGCCTTTCGTGAGAATCGAACCCTGTACCCTGGGGTTCGAGTACATGTTCAATGCATTCCCACTACCAATTGAGCTACGTATCTCAATTGGTAGTGGGAATGCATTGAGCATGTACTTGAACCCCAGGGTATAGGGTTTGATTCTCACGAAAGGTAAAAACTCTACTAGTGAGGGGGGTAGAGAAGATCGTGAGGTAATAGTGCCGGGAACGCTGAAGGCTCGGGCTGTTACAACAAGTGTGGGTTACCCTAAAGGTACAAATAAGCAAAGTGTTTTTGTTTTCATATATTTTTGTCTTAAATTAGGGTTGTCTACTTGTTTAATTTTAGTCTGGTCATACAAACTCTAATTACTAGCAACAATATGGAAAGTGATAAATTATGGAAATTAAATATGATACACTATTGCAATACTTGAGGGGAAGGGGGATACAAACTTACGAATGAGGATGACAAGTAAAGTAAACCCTAATTACTATTACAAGTATTTGACAATTACATAATTTATAATGCCAAATAGTAAAATGTGCAAGAAAATGTAAAGTGAAAGAAATTGTTTTTTAGGATTTTTTGATAGAAAATTTTTTGTAGTTCATTTAATTGAAGAAAAAAACCTAGGTCTAAGTTAAGTTAAAAAGAACACTAATTGTTTAGAAAAATATTTTTGATGTTTCATTTGGAAATTTTTATGGTGTTAGGTCATCTCCAACCAATGCAATATGTCTAGTGCACCTTTAGTGATCCAAAATTATAGCAAAAAATGTCAAAAATCAAGATTTCTCATGCCTAGGCTTACACGGGCCATGTCACTGGACACGAGAACCTGTGTCAGGATCTACCCACGCCTTTGCACAATGTTTTTATTCCAGCCAAATTGACATGGGTCGTGTCGTGTGACACGGACACCCGTGTCAATCCTCGGTCCTCCTGTTTTTGCACGTTTCCAATTCCAGTTGATTTGACACGGGCTGTGTCATGTGACACGGGCACCCGTGTCAGCCCCTGCCCTACATTTTTGTTAGGTTTTTAACCCAACTGAGCTGACAAGGGCCATGTCGTGTGACACGGGCACCCGTGTCAGTCCCTGGCCTAGCTTTTTGTTGAGTTTTCTCTTTGATCTGTTCTGTTATATTTTTTGAATGCAAAAGTAAATGATGTATGGATAAAGATATCACAGTTTGAGAAAGTTTACCTCTTGAAGTGAAAACTTTAAAACATGTATGGATGTTTCCAGACGCAAAGTGGTGATTGATCGAGCTCTTTTGAACCTTCTTGAAGTTGCTCCAACCCTCTTGTTGTGCTAAAATGGCTGAACCACTCCAACCAGTCAAGTTGCAAAATGTTATTTTTGAGTTTGGAAGATGGTGATAGTGACGTTACAAAATTTGTTCTTGTGTTTGAATAGCTTATATATGATGTATGTGAAGTATTTGGATGGTTTGTTTGAGAAAAATTGTAAGGTTTCAGAGACTCAAGGGTTTGGACTTCAAAGCTCAAAGATGGAGGTTTTGTGAACAATTTTGGTTTTCTGAGAGTAAAGGGATTTTGAGTGATTTCTTCTCTCTATTTTTTCTGGCCTCTTTCTCTTGCAACTGATCTCTCTATTTATAGGCAAGGGGTTTGAGAGGTTGAAGTAATCAGATTTGCAAAACAACATGTTATGGTTTGGTTGGATTGTACATGAGAATTCATGACTTTACATTTTTCCAATGGGGCCTGGCCTGTTTTCTATGAGTGCTTTGCAGGTTGTATATAGTTGTTTCTTTCTTTGATATTGTGTATGTGCAGAAGAAACCATTGAGAGGCTCAAGGAGTTGACATTGTGGTTAAAGCAATGCTTTTCAAGAATGACAATGATGCCTTTATGCCATAAATGGAAAGATCTTTTGGACAATAGATCAAACACTTGGGTAATAACTCAAAAGTAGGTGTAATCATTAAATTATAGTGAGATTTGTAAGTTAGAAGGCCTGCAACACAAGATTATGCAGCATGTCATATAGATTGGATTATGTGTTCTTCACCAAAATGACTTGTAATTCAAGAATGAATGCCTAACTTCATACCTTTAAATCTCCTAGCTCAAGTATGATAAATTCATGCCATTGGATTTTTTGGAAAGCTTGAAACATCCTCTACAACTTTCATGTTTTCCACTTTTTTTAAATCAAATTGGAACTTGATGAAAATTGGCCAAGAAGTTGAGATAAAAACTGACCAAAATCTGTTGAAAATTTCTCTATGTGTTGGATGAAAATGCCATGACTTCATGAGCCTGTATCTTTATATCTAAGTGTTTTTTGGACATCAACCCTCTAATACAAAGCTGTATAATTCATCAAGATCTACAACTTTCATGTTGAAAGTTTTCTTTGAATCATCTTGCATCTTGGTGAAAGAATGTCATGAAGTAATGAAATTATCAAGTGTAAAAACACTTAGAAAATTTATAAGTATTGAAAATTTTGACTTTTTGTTGACTTTCTTGATTCTTGTTGACCAAATTTGGTATTCTTGAATGTCTTGATGAATTTTGATTTTTGAAATTCAATGTTAGACCAAAAAGTTAAAGTTTGACTTTTTGTGTATTAGTTAACTTTTCATCAGTTGATCAAAATTCAACTATCGATCTTTTGATCTTTGAGAAATGATTTGAGTCATAAAATTAGGTCACCATGTTGTGTTTGAATCCTTGAGATTATGCTTCAAGCCATTAGGTCATGTATTAGGTCAAAAGTCAATGATTCGTCGTTCTCGGTCAAAACCCTAATTTGGAGGCTCAGTGAGTTTGTCTGATCAAAGTCTTGAGAACCCTTGAGCATTTGAGATCTTTGGTGAGAAATGTTTTGATAAAAGAGATGGAAAATTTTGGGGTACAACAATTCTCTATGTCCATTTTTCGTCCAAAAAAGCACTGATGTGTCGTTTTTTCTATACGTGACATTCTTTTCATGTAAGAGAGAACATATAGAGCATTTTTCTATAAAACAGATGACGAACGAACAAGCTGAAAAAGAAAGAAGATGAAGAAGTCGATCGAAGAAGATGATTGAACAAAGAAAACATCGTCAGAAACACGATGGATAACTAACCTTTCTCATGTCAAGTCAATAAAAATATGTCATGTATCTAAAAAATAATACACATCAGCGTTTTTAGACGAAAAGTGAACATAAGAGATCAAAACTTAAAAAAAAAAATAGAAAAACTGATTTCGTGAATTTACCAAAATAAAGGAATCAAAACTGTAATTTAATCTTATATTTATTTTAAAATAGTGATAACAGTTATATATATAATCTAATCCTTTTCTAAAATATAATAAACAATTAAGTATATTAATATAATCTAATTTTAAATTAATTAATATACTTAATTGTAGTGTCTATTTAAGAACAAATTAGATTATTTTGTATCATACATTGGAAAAAAAATCAATAATCAATTAATATTGTTATATTTTAGAGAAAACAATGAATCTTTAAGTAAGTTTTATATATTGAAAAAGATGTACTTTTCATTAGTATAGTTAATCAATTAACTTATATATAAATAAAATTCTCCCTTTTAAAAATATTTTGTTTCACACTTTTGTTATTTTTCACAATTGAATTAATCAAATAATTAAAATTTAAAATTAAATGAGATTTAAAAAATATAGATTAATTGAATTTAAATCCATAACGATAATACAAGTGTTCATGAATCTGAATAATTTAATTTTAAACTTTGAATTGGAGTTTTCTATTGAGTCGGTCTAAAAAAGTGAATTGGGCACAAAAAAATGTTACATTTTATAATCAAATACTAAAAATCAGTAGTTAATATAATTATATTGATTGATTTGAATGTATTCGTAGAAAATTTAAAAGGAAATTGCAACGGAAAGTATTCTCCAAGAAGAATCACTCTAATCTTCGTTTTTCAAAAAAGTTAAAAAAAAAACATTTTTTAAAGAAATAAGTTTTGAAAAAAAGAAAAGGAAACGCGTGCGAAACGAAGGGAGTGGGATACGTGCGTAACGAAGAGGAGAGAAAGAGCACCACGTTGGGTAGTAGCATTGAAGCGCGTGCAGGGTCTTCCGACCCGAGCCCCATTTCCTCTCTGCTCACAATATTTTCATTTCTTCCCCTTCCTTTTTCCTTTCCTACGTTTCTATAAGATCTAACTCCTTCTTATTGCACAATCTTTCTCTCTCCCCTTCTCATCCATCAGATTATATTTACCACTTTCTTTCTCACACCACAAAGCGATTTCACTCTGGTACGTTTTTTCTTCTCTTTCTATCATCTCAGGGTTTCCGATTTTCATCGATCGATTACAATCGGTGTAACTGCTTCTACAATTCTTCTTAGTTGCTTCTACGATTGTTATCATGTTAGGGTTTACGATTCTCGATTTTCAACTTGTATCTCAACTGATTTTTCTTGTTTGGTTTGCGATTGTGCTAGTGTAGTTTTTTTTAATTTTTATTTGGCTTTGTTTTTGTAACATAGGTTTATATTATTTATATGATTTCTAGCACTGTTTTCGCTTGTGTGAGTAGGTATGAGGATTTGTTATTATATGAGAAATATAAGTAAAAGTGCCACTTAATTTTTCAGATTTTTGAGATTTTGAGTTTTTGTTTTTTCTTCACCATATTTTACTTGTGTAGTTATCATGTATTGGTTTTTTCAGATTTCATCTTGGAATCTGTAGTTATGATGTATTTGTTTTTTCAGATTTCATATTGGAATCAGGGAACATTGGTTCCAATATGAGCTCTCGGACGAGCAAGCCGACTTCTGTCAGAAGTTACCGGCGTAGGAAGACAGTTTTGGACCTTGACCTTAACAGAGTACCCGCTGGTGAGAATCGGGAGCAGGAGGGAACTTCAACTCAGTTGGAGCCTCAAGTAGTAGAAACTCAAGCCAACAACCAGCAACAACAACAAGCCAACAACCATCAACAACCCCCGTTGATTGATGTGGAGGCCATTGACGATGATGTTATTGAATCTTCCCCAAGGGCTTTTGCTGAGGTTTATCTCTCCTTTTGTATATTCTTTGTTTATATTGTCTTTCAGTTGTTGCTAGAATGAGTCTAATTTTTTCTGTTTATGTTTTCTTAGGCTAAAAACAATTCTAGAAGAAATCGCGGGAGGACTATAGTTGATGTGGATTTAGGTAAAATGAATTTCCTTTATTCTCACAGCCAAACATTGTAGTTATGTAAGGGTTTGGAAGTGTATTATTCCTAGTTAATGTGGAATTAAGTCCTGTTTTCCCCAGTTTTAACATTTATATTTTCCAGTACTGCATTTCATAACTTTCCCCAATCCATTTCCTTGCCGATTGGGTTAGAATGTCTTGTACGGAAGCTTTCTGTATCCCATAACATGATTTTTATCACGCGATAAAATGTTTTTTAACTTTGCTCTCTTCTTTTTCCTGATGCAGTCTTTACTCTTCATGATTTTAAATTTATTATATCGGTATATTTTTTCTGATATAGTCTGTCATTCATGATTATTGAAGAAGAGCAGACTAGGGTAAACAACATTAATCGCAACAAGCGCAGAAGAGAACCTCCAAATGGAACCATTATCAATTGTGATCTTTATATTAATTTGGAAGGCAGTAGCAGCTCTCTGGTAAGAGCTCTTTCTGACATGTCATATTGTTCTATGTTCAATGTTTCTTCTGCTTTTAGTATCTGAAAAAATTAGCTGTCAGATTTGTACTAATTAGTTTCTACTGTGCGACAAATAATTAGCTTTTGGCCTCTGGGTTATGGATAACTAATTTCAACCTTGTGGCATGTAGTTAGGTATTACTTCTTTATGATTTGTTTTTAGCTATGATCTTTAGGCAGTTATTTACAGTACCTTTTATTTTACTTGTTATATTTGGATAGACATATTGCACAATTATATACACTTAAATACTTATTTCTCAAGACTATGTCCTTTTGATGTTCTCTTGGGGACCTGAGGAGTTGGTCTATTTCAGTTGTGGGACAGGGAAATTTTCTTTGATGGGGACAGGCTACCACTGAGCATAAGATGGGATGAATGTTTTAAAATCAGAGACAGTAGATTTATGGTATTTTTAGTCGAGACATTTTTACTTGCATTTAACTGAATTGATGCAAGTGTGGCTTGCTATGGCTGCTTGCCGTTGAAGATGTTGTGTTGTTAGAACAGTTCTTTATGTCAAACACAGCTTGATTTTCTTCATCCTTTTATAGTGCAGTTAGATACTTGCCAATATGCCAATGTTTTTCAGTGTCCTAGTTTTTTTGTGTCTTTACATCTCTTTAAGTACTGTGCTGCATAATATTACTTGGAGTTATTTCATAGTCTTTATAATATAAATTGTATCATCTGTTGCTTCTTAATCACCACCTCCAACGAACAAAAACTTATATAAGGCCATAAAGGTCAAATTCCTGTTTCTAATTCCTGTTTTGATTTGGATATCTCTTTGGCAGGTGGAAAGTGTCAAAAAGCTACCCGAGCCTCCCAAGGAACCTGTCTTCAATTGTCCTATATGCATGGGCCCTTTGGTTGAAGAAATGTCGACAAGGTGTGGTCATATTTTTTGCAAGGCATGTATCAAGTCTGCAATAAGTGCTCAGGCTAAATGTCCTACCTGTAGAAAAAAGATTACCGTGAAAGAGCTTATAAGGGTGTTTCTCCCAACAACTGGTTAAGGTATAGCCAAAATCACTATAGATTATTATTGCTGGCTGATATCTTGGCGCGGATGAAATACGGAGTTGGTAGAAGAGAACACATCACTTATATCATTGTTTTTTCATAAGTGAACTTTATTTGAAAATCTCTTTTTATTGATGTCAGAAAAGCATATATAAATAGTTGTGCGTGAAGATAATTAATGAGGCGTGGAGAGTAAATTTTATATTTGATTTGGGACAGTAAAAAGAATATGTGCTAGTAGATATCATTGGATATAGGAAATATAATTAACAATATGCTTGTGTCTGCAAGAAAAGCATATAAAAATACTTGTGCATGAACAAATTAAAATGCTTGGAGAAATCATTGGATATAGGAAATATCATTAATGATATGCTTGTGTCTGTATAATTTGTGCCTTTGTGGCCAAATGGAAAACTGGTACTCCACTCCCTTCAAAATAGAACTAGGCTCTCTTTAACTTTTTTTGTTTGGTATATATAGCCCCCTTTTTTGTCTGAGGTGTCCTCGTCCTCGAGCAAGATTTTAGTGGAAGCAATAAAAGCTTTCTTTTAATAAAAGTGAATTTATGTGCTTTTTCTGTTGCTTTCACTGGAATCTATAACAAACTGACTTGTGAAATTATGGGTTTTTTACTTGGTGAAATTATGTTGAATTTATGACTTTATATTTAATAGTTATATTTCTATATTAACTATCCTGCCATACTCTACTGTGGAACTCATACATGTGTTTGCACATTTTGGTTTTTATACTTTAATTAGGTAGGTGCATTCTTTTCTCTTTTATTTCATTGTATTTTTCTAATGCATATGTGGTACCTCTGTTAGGATCATGCAATATACCGTAGTTCCTACACTTTTTAATTAATCTTGCCATTGTAATGTAATTGTAAATCATCCGAAGTTCCTACATTGAGTGGTTACCTTTTTGCCTTACAACAGGGTTTCCATGTAAGCTGAGCAGATGATTATGGGGAATGGAACCTTGCAGTTCGGAGATTGCCGAGTAGTTTTGTTTCTAATTTACCCCTGTCAGTCTGAATAGCTGTTTAATTTATCATTTATCATTATATACATGAAGATGTTTGGTGGATACAATTCCTTGCTCGGGTTTTCTTAGCTTTCATACTCTGGATCATTCGTCTATCTTTTTCTTTGGTGGAAATACACTGCTAAAATTTACTGGTAGAATTCTAAACTATCCAAGGATTTATGTATGTATATTAGATCCTTCTTGAGTTTACTGGTGGAATTCATTTGATTCAGTTTGCCAGTAGGAATATATGCTTTGCTAATAGTTTTGCTGTACATGTTCAGCATGTTTAGTTTTCAAGGTACGTGCAGGCTACTGGAGGGTCAAGATTTGAAAATAATTGAATTTTTTCTTTTAAAAAATATAATCGTTATACTGTTTTATTAAGCATATAGTTCTATGAAAAACACTAAAATAAACGTGGCACTTGTTTAAATTTTTTTTTTTTTTGTTTAGAATCAAGATATGGCAAACAAAAAGGAGAGCCTCAACTAGATTAACATCAAGTGAGCAATATGCTCCCTAACCTTAGGACTACTCCATCCCCTATAAACTATAGTATTGATAATCTCTTATGTCATGTTAGTGTTATATATCTTGTTTACAAAACACAAATTATTTCTATACTTCCTAATAGCATGGACAGTTTTGTCACACTCTTCTACAAGCATGATTGATTTGCAACGAGTCAAGTACCTTCTGCCAAATTTGTCGCAGAGTAATGCAATCAAAAAACAAATGGTGCTTGTAAACTCTCTTGGTGTCGATTTTTCTTCTCATATTAGACCAATCCTGCATAAGCTGAAGAGTAGTTTTTTGTTTGAGGACGATTTTAAAAATCCATGAGTAACTCGATTTAACCGGCATAGTCATAATCTTATCCTGTTTGATATAGTAGCTATGAATCCAACAAATATGCGGAGAAGAACCTTCTTCTCCTTCTTTGGGGGAGGAAGGCATTGCATATAGAAATTGATATAGTAGCTATGAATCCAACGAATATGCGGAGAAGAACCTTCTTCTCCTTCTTTGGGGGAGGAAGGCATTGCATCTAGAAATTTGCAATTGCAAAAATGACACTTCTAATAAGTTGCATCTGACCCGCGAAGCTTAAAAGCTTAGTACTCCAGTTTTGAATCTACGCCACTATACGATCAATCAACTACATATAGTGTTGGACAAATAACTTCTTACTAGTGAGGGGCACACCTAGGTACCTGAACAGAAGAGGTATTGACCTGAATAGCTCTCTTATCTTGGTCATTAACACTACCATAATACGCTTTACATTTCGATGGGTTAACATGAAGGTCTGTAGTCTTAGAGAGCTCACATATTTTTCTCATAACCAATTCATTAGATCTAGTATCACCTTTTGTGAAAATCAACAGGTCATCTGCAGAGCTCAAGTTAATGATGTGGAGTTTTTCACACTTTGAGTGGAAATTAAAAGTAGACACTTTTCTCAATTTTGCAACGTTATATGTAAGTAGTCCATTACGATCACAAAAAAACAAAGGCGAAATAGGACACCCTGTCAAAGGCCTCTCTTAGCTTTCATAGTTCTAGTGTAGTTTCCTTGAATGTTGAAATTATAGGACACAAAACTCATAGCCAACATGATCAATCTGATGATTTATGAGACAGACCCACTTCCTTCAGAATTTGTTGCAGTGCATTCCAATCTACGGTATCGTTTTATGCCTTCTGCAAATCAAGCTGAAGCATACACTTTAGAGTCTCTTCCTTCCTACTATAACCTCGAATCAACTCATAGGTTAGCAATATGTGATCATGATATGTTGTCTAGGCACAAAAGCAGCCTGACTATGGTGCACAATGTCCCCTAACACTTTACTTAATCTCTTAGAGATAAGCTTATAGATTGTAGTGCACCAAGAAATAGGACAATATTTTTTAATAGTCTTGGTTTCAACATGTTTAGGGACTAAGGTGTTGTTAATAGCACTATAGATTTTCTCCTCAACAAAAAACTCCATAACAGTCGCAACAACATTCTCCTTAACAATACTCCATGTTGCTTTAAAAATTTTGCGCCATAACCATCAATCCCGGGTGCTTTAAGATCCCCAATACTTTTCAAAGCATTGAGAATATCCTTCTCAGTAACATGAGCAATCAAAAGCTTTGGTTTGTCCATATTGGCTTGGTGCCCTTACCTCATAGCAACAATATCATTGTTGTCATATTGGTCTCAAACTTTCCTATCAAGGTTTCATAAAGGTCCAAGACCCCCCCCTCTCTCTCTCTCTCTTTCTCTCTCTCTCTCTCTCTCTCTCTCTCTCTCTCTCTCTCTCTCTCTCTCTCTCTCTCTCTCTCTCTCTCTCTCTCTCTCTCTCTCTCTCTCTCTCTCTCTCTCTCTCTCTCTCTCTCTCTCTCTCTCTCTCTCTCTCCTCTCCTCTCTCTCTCTCTCTCTCTCTCTCTCACTCTCTCCTCTCTCTCTCTCTCTCTCTCTCTCATGGCTAGTAAGAGCGATGCCATCCTCCTTATAAATGTTCCTCAGCTCATTTCATTTTTTATTATTCTTGATAGAGGCATGACAATATGAGTTATTCCCGTCTCTAAGCTTAAGCCAATCAATTTTGGCTCTTTGTCGAAGAACTTGTTCTTTTATGTCATTCCATTTAATAACTTCCTCCGTGCAATGTTTAACTTCCAAGATGGCTTAAGGATTCATATGTCCTGCAGCAGAATTGTTTGAGCATCTTGAAGGTTACTTCTAACTTTTTCCAGATTGATTTTAGCCCCGACGATAGGCTTACTCAATCTCCTCATATCTAGTTGAAGCCTACGAAGCTTTCTCCAAAGGAGCTCCATAGACATGCCATCTATAAGCTTCTTCCAGTTTCTCTTAACAATCTCTGAAAATCCTGTAAATAGTAACACAGTTTAAGAATTTGAAATTTGACTTTTGGATCTTCGCATCTGTCTTCTGCCCTTGTGATAACGTGAAATTATATCGTATATTCGACTTGATTCACATGCACTTTTATATTGTTTTTCGTTCATTTTATCTTGTTATGCCAGTATTTCTATTTCATTTCAGATAACATTTCACAAGGCTCGCATAAGAAAAGAGGAAGAAATGACAGAAAATGTGTGACTCTGTAGCAGAAAATAGAAGAAAATGCATCAGATGACTGTGACGATCGTCCGCAGCCTCCTGCCGGTCGCCACAATATGAAAATATGTGTGTCCCTCGGCACACATGATGTTCCGGTTGCCACGCTTTGAAAGTATGTGTGCCCCTCGGCACACATGATGTTACGATCGACACATGTTGAAAATATTACGATCGTAAGCTTGTTGGATTATTGAAGATTAATTTCAATTCTAATTCAAGTTTCTCTTTTACAGGTTCTCTTTTATTGCTTTATTATTATTATTATCGCTTATGATTGTTAATTTAATTACCATGCTTGTTTTAATTGAATTTGCTATGTTTAATTTGTTTTCAATCAATACTATGTCTAGTTAAACCATTTAGAACCCGATATGTGAGGATTGTCGTCTCGACGGGACTCGGGTAACGAAGTTGGCTTAAATCTTTGTTTGAAAATCATGTTTCGGTCTTTTATTTTTAAAATTTAATTTAAATAGCTTTGTCATGAGAGTGAGAGGTTACTTAACACGATTTTTTCACGAGAGCGAGAAATTAACTAAGGTTCGAGTCCGCACTGCGAGAGCGTGGGGGTCGAACCTGACAGTAGAAACTAAGCATTAATTCTAAATACAACGAGAGCGTTTTAGGATTAATTAGAACTTGTTCAGTTTTCAAAACACATTCCTTAATTAAAATGGGTGAGCGAGAGCAAAATCACATGGCTAAGGAATGCAACTTTATTTAAAATCGCGAGAGCTTGAGGTTCAATCTTTAAATTGATATTTTCTACTAAACAGATTTTTAACATAAGTATAAGCCAATGAGTTACATAGT